GCCTTTTAAAAATAAAAATTTGCAGTTGGTGGGATTGAACCCGCTCCAGGTTCAAGGTTTTTCTCTTCGTTTATTCAAAAAACCGAAAGATAAAATAAAAATATTTCATGTTGTCATTCGTTAACTCGTCTAGACAACCGATGTACAATCCTCCTTGCATTTCGAGATAAAATAGGATTAGTTGTAACAGTGAAAGATAATATCATTATGCTAAATAGGTGTGTCTCTATTAATTGTCTATTCAACCATTTCTTTATTTTCTTTTTGCTGGTCTTCTCCTTATGTCGTTAGAATACTTTTAAAATAAAATATTATGAAATTTGTTTGAATAGAATGAATTGGACTTTGTTTGCATTTTTTTTTTCATAAATCTTCGAAATTTTTATTAAAATCTACAAAAACACAAATGTACTAATAGTAAAAGTATTTAAAATAATGAAATGTACTACTAAAAACATAGAGTTATAGGTTGTCATCATTCATTTAAATGCTTAACGAAAAGGAAATTTTGCTACTTATAATTGGATTAATCATAGGTAAAGAGTTCAATCTTGCTTTGATTTTATAGGCTAGATTTTAGTTGTCAATTCATGTGACGATCCTTCTAATAACACTCGTGGAAGCATATGATTTAAGCTTATGAGTGTCTTATTAGCTTAACATCTTGTCACTATATAACATTCACAATGTATAAACATCACATAGTTAATTAGTTAATATAATTCGAGCTACATTGATGCTCTAAACATAAATCTTAATTTTTGTGATGATCAACTCAAATTTGTATAATAATATTCAAAATTCTAATTAAAAGACTATAAAATCAATTTAAAAGTTAATAATTCTAAATTTAAATTGTTATTTATCTTCAAATAATAAAAGTTTCTTATCAATGTTTTAAAAATCGGATCGGAGATCGAACCAGTAAAATTTACAGTTTAAAGTTCAATTGATTAAACCTAAATATTTCACATATTATTATATTTTTTCAACTTAATAAAATAAATATTTCAAAAATCCATTACAAATTTAATACAACAATATCAATAATACATAACATTAACATAGTTCTACACTTTATTTCAACCATAATTTGAGAATATTTTGGTCAAACTAAAAAATCACAATAAAAAAATTAAACTAATTAAAATCAAGATTAAAATAATAAAATGTAAAACTAAAATAAAAGTTCAAATAATTAAGAATACATAAATTAAATAAAATAGAATACCAAAATATAAATAATACAATATACTTCATTAAACAATAAAAAATTGAATTTGAGGTGAACTACGACAAACAAGTCTTAATAGACAAACACTATTGACTTGAACGACAATCAATAGAGTTGGACATCGTGACTATAATTAAAAATGACGGCATAATGATGATGGAGTGACAAAACTTATAAGTTTGTATGGTGGTAAAAAAACACACGGAATTCGTTTTTGTGATTGGAGAATGTATGTTAAGTTTTGAAATTAACATATTAAAATTTTTATATTTTTTTTTTTTAAATGGTCAATTTGATGAATTTTTTGAACCGGACGGTTTTACAAAACTGACTCCGATTCTTTTGTTCGAATGATTTTAAACGGTTCAATTCGATTTTTCTGATTTAATCTCGATTTTGACCCACTGACAATTTTAAAAGATTGACCCAACCGAATTTATTTTCAGTTCTCAATCCAACCAATTAAACCGGCCAATTCACTCTAATTTTTTAAAACATTACTCTCAAATTTATTTTATTTTTTGCTGCGGAACTTTATCATGAAATGATTCGAAAGACAGATGTGTATGGTGATAGTCAAAATTAATTATTCTGAGTTTGTTAATATTATTATAGCCAAGGGAAAATTAATTACCAAACATATATACAATATACTACTAGACTTTATAAATAAAATTTGTCCTAATACTAATACACACTCATTAATATAATAGGTAAGATTAGAGCAATAATCCTTACGACCAGAAGAGAACAAGATTATCATGAATTAGGCATTAATAACTAATGGTAATTAATACTAACTAATTAACGTAGTAACCAAAATCAATGAGACAGATAAAGAGTTTATGTTGCGGGAGCATAATCATAACCACCATCCTCATCATCGTGTCCTTCATCGCAAACTACAATAAGATAGCCATATCAAACATCACCATGACCATTTTCAATGTGCTTCTTGCACTATGGAGCTACAACTATGAAAATGAATGACATTTTTGTTGGAAAACATAAAAACCTACTTAAAACTAGTTCAAAATTAATTATTTTATTTAGGTCTGAAATTAAAAACGAATTATTTGAGTCTTCTACACTTTGAATTTACTTCTGATTTCGATGTTTATGTAAAGTAGAATTGAGATATACACACTATTTATTAGCAAATTTATAGTGGGTGAGAGTCTCATACAAGTAATTAGTTTCATAAGTGGATTAGAGTCCCATAGAAGAAAGATTTCATTATGTAACACCCTATTTTCCGATTTGACAAATAATTAAATAAAATATGTAAAACACATATATCTTTCAAGTAGGATGCTACTCTTAGCAATCAAACTCATATTTGAACCACATAATTAACAATGAAGTCATTTGATAAGCAACGGAAATTATAAAATACGTGGCATTAAAAGCGTCAACAACATTACTAGTTTGAAAAGTGGTTCATCAACAAAAAATCAACGGAAACATATGCAACATAAAATAAATGATAGAACAGCTCGTTCCCTTGTGTTACATGTTCCATTTGGTCTTGATTTTTGCCTGTACATACAAAACAAACATGTATCAGCTTCCACTACTTCAAATTTGTTACGGCAACCAAGTTGACCTTTTCGGTTGGATTTTCCTACTTAGAACATGAAAAGGAGGCAAACTTCATATGAACATTTGAAAAGTTAAAGGAGTTATTCACATCTAAGAAGTTGTTTCTGAAGGTCATGGTGATGGATCAGGAATTTGCCCGGATGAATGTCATGTAAGTTGTGGTCACATCCTTATTTCATCTGTTATGTGTATTACGTATTTCAAAAATATTAGTTTGAAATGCAAGGACTGCATCGAATCTAATATGCAAGAGCATGTTATGGATTTATGGAACAAAGTCATGTATTGAAATAGTATTTTAAAATTTGAGCAATAGTTAAAACATTTTAAGGTGAAGAGTCACGACCCTTAGTTCAAACGTAGCATGATGGTTAAGTTTATCTAAATAGTCAATCGCATTTCAAAGTATTCTATGACACGGTCTCAAAAATTATGAGTTCATTGTAAATCTCTATCTTAAGAGTTCAAGATTGTGAGATATGGACGATGATTCCGACATTATTGTAACCTTAATATAACTTTTTCTCACTTGTGGTTTCTTCATTTATGTCTCTGAGTAGACATAAAATGATTGAAGTAAGTTTTGTTAACAACAGTCATTAAATTCAGATAAAGTTGAAACTTAATTATCCATTGTCTCTTGTCACTAATACTTGAGACAAAACTGCATTAAAGGTGCGAGAGTATTGGAAAACAACATATGCATAAGATATAAGACATTGGAAAGAAAAAGTAAGAAAAACAACATAGTTTGATTTATCTTAATATTGTTGTATAGTTGTTATTATATGTATATAATTTGTCAAATTATGATACACTTTTGTATGTTATGTCAGGTCATGTTACGTGGTGTTAATAATAAAATATGTTAAGTTATGTTTATATTATATTATTGTGATGTTAATTTTTATATAATATCAAAAACATAATAAAATAGCAAAAAAAAATACCATATTGTCTACCGGATTTTTATTTTAAAAAACGGTAACACCCTGCACATAAACATTTTAATATGTCTAATAATCCTAATGAGAGTCTTATTGGATTTTTTAAATATCTAGTATAACTCCATATTTCTATGCCAAACTTTTGGAAAGTGCGGGAGAAAGGTATATAAACAATGGATTTATCCCGGATTTTCTTAGTAATTTAGTATAACTTCATAGTTTTAGTACTGAAAAATTAGAAAGTCTCGTGAAAATTCATGAATTATTTTTAAAAATCCGATATTTTAGAAAAGTATATGATAAGAACTCAAAAATTAACCAATAAACATGAATTATTTGTAAAAATCTGGTATTTTGAACCAAATATTCAAACAGAGACCTGGTTTTTTGAAAAAAAAAACTAAAACAATTTAATTTTATTGATTTAGAATTATTATAATAAAAGCGTTGATAAACGTTGGGGTGCCAAGAATAACTTAGGTGCTACACAACAAACCAAGATTACTGAAACTTGTTTGGAGATACTCTTGAGCCATGTACCACTAGTTGTCACACAATTTCCAAAATAAGTTGTTTGCAATCATCAATATAGTGTAATTCATTGGATTTCTTTGTAGAATGCTTGTGCAATGTCATGTTCATGACGACTTTTTGATGTGTATCATCTAACCACACTACAAAGGACTGAGGAAAATACCCCTAAGTGATTTGTATCATTCGAAGCATAATCTCATGTCCTATGATGAAAAATGCCCGAGTGATTGTCATCACTCTAAGTAATCTCCAAAGTGATTGATGTATCATCTGACCATTACAAGGACAGAGAAAGATACACCCCAAGTAATTGATGTATCATTCTAAACTTGATCACATGTCCTATGAGGAAAAGTACTAGGTGGACTTGTCAAGTTTCCAATGAATATGATGGAATAATAGTGAGGGGTTTGAGTAAAATTAGAGGCTAAGTAATCAACTATAAATGACACTAAGGTAGCTTATAGAGATCAATTTGAAAACAAAAACAAAAACAAAATAGAAATAAGGGTGAGTCTTCTTTTCCTAAAATATCAATAGTACACAATTTCACCCATTTCAATAGTACACATCCATAAACCAAATTTTGAATCCATTCTCTGCCCCCTCCTCTTTCTTTCTTTCTATCAAATTAAAAAACTAAGACAAGGAAAAAAAAAACGTTTGATTATTAAACCACTTCATCATAATCTTTTCAAACTTTTCTTTCTTGCATCTAGCTTCTTCTTGTCTGCCTGAGCTTTGGCAGTTCCAATTTCCTTCTTCTGTGGTGCATGAGCAGCAGAAACTACGGCAGCAGCAGTAGAACGATTAGCAGACGACTCGGTCAGAATACCCGCTGCCTGATCCTGACTAGCACCTCTTGCTGCAGTGGTCGAGGGCAGCGACAATGGTGGCAAAGCAGCACTTGACGACAATGGTGGCAAAGCAGCACTTGATGGCATGGTTTTGATGTCAGCATTAAGCACTGAGGTGTTCGTCTGATCAACATTCAGAGCAGTAGTTGATTCGGTTATAGCTCCACTTTTGAATTTAGCCTTTGGCTTTGCATGAATGCCGGTGTAAATCCTGCATAGATGGCGAATTGAATAGGTAAGAAACTAGCAATGAAACTAATTTAGCTAAAGAAAATCTATCAAAACCATGGATCAACCTATACAAGCAATGAGTTGACAGGAACAGCACCATTGGCTTAACTCACCTGGCATGTCTGGCATACTCCTCGTAATCTTCAAGCAGTAGTTTACCGGCCATTTCATTTAAAGCTGACTCCGGAAACGGTTCAATCAATAGACACCTAACAACCTGTTGATTATGAACATCAGTGTTGATAAATTAAAAGTCCAATCAACCAGAACTAAATTCAATAAAGCAAGAATGTTTAAACACTCCTGTAGGAAAACAGGCAAGTTGGGAAAAAAATAGCTTCATTACTAGGACAGCCAAAAGACTTACGATAAGAACATGCCGTAATCCAAGGCTAGGATTCCAATCCTTTTTAAGTGTGTTGACACAAATCTCTCCATTGTTAGCAACATTTGGATGGAAAATCTTGGTCAAAAAATATCCTACAACATTAAATTCAATAGATTCACAAGTTAGTTAACACCTCGTGAAACACTAACATACCAGATTCTTTCAATCCAGAAAAGAGGAGAAATTCAAGAACCACAAGGCAATCAATGTTGCAAGGATCAATAAAAAATTAAATCCATCACATAGAACACTAAAATACGATATACTTTCAATCCAGAATAGAGGAGAAATTCAAGAACCACGGGGCAATCAATGTTTTAAGGATCCATAAAAAAAAATCATCGCACAAGAAAGGTCAATAAAAACAACAATTCACAATTCCAAAGGAAAAATACGAATATAATAATTCTATTTTAACACACCTTTAGGAGGCGAATGTGGGAAATCATGGGACAGTAGCAACTTCATGCGAAAAACTCCATTCTCATAAGGAGTCCCGGCTGCAAAAAAAGTACACAACACAACAAAATTTCAGCTTGAGCTCTACACATAATGTCAAATGTTGCATTAAAAAAATGAAATTACTTGCCTGGGCCATCTATGTCAGCATATATAGTTGAGAAATCATCATCATTCACCACAACTTTGATGCCCTCGGGAGGGGTTTCATCAAGATTTTTCAACTCCTTGGCGAGTTGCTTTATTACATTAGGTGGAAGATTTTCATTAGTAGCCTAAAACAAAAGCACCATTGTACAATGTAAGAACATACATTATTGAACCAAAATGGAATTGAACTACTCAACTAGCGCTACTGAACCAAAATGGAATTGAACAGCTACACTACAAACATTGTGGAACCAAAAGGGAATTGAACAACTACTCAGCAAGCGCTTGAACCAAAATAGAATTGAACAATATAAATGTTACTGAACCAAAATAGAATTGAACAATATAAATGTTACTGAACCAAAATAGAATTGAACTACACAAATGTTATGAACTAAAATGGACTCAAACAACTACAAAACAGTCACTGAACCAAAATGGAATCGAACAACTACACAACAAACAAATGTTACTAAACCAAAACGAAATCAAAAAACTAAAGAAAAATCTGGTGCACATTATAAAATAGGAAAATGACACATGATCTGTTATAAGATAGTGCGGATCATTTAAGAAAATAAATGCTTACCATCAGCAGCACAAGGGAACCCTTTCTGTTTAGTTCTGTCACTGAAAAGTGAGGAGGTTCTGAGCTGATTTCCTGCACAAAACAAAGTAAAGTCAAAATGCCTTCACCAGAAATTTAACAAACAAAACTCAAATAGTCATCATGACATCTAGAATTAAGTCATTTTGCCAACACTTACACAATCACAAAATAAAAAACCTCCGAATATACACATATCCGATATGATTTAGAAGTATAACACTATCATAAGAAGCACTCTATGAAACAATTCACAAACCAAAAAGAAGATAAAGGAAAAGCAAGCTTCTGAACCTATAACCCTATCATAAGAAGCACTCTACAAAACAATTCACCAAACCAAAAACAAGATATAAAAGAAAACAAACTCACATAGAGCTTCTGAACCTAAATTTCTTTCAATTAGAACAAAAACCCTTCATATACACACACAACAAAATACAATTGAGCATCAATTTATATCCCATCACATATAAAAAAAGAAACTTTGAACAAAATTGAACGAAAAATGAAACCTTTTTTAAAGACTCGATCACAGGGGCAAAACCCTAATGGGAAAAATGGAAACCCCGCAATCCCAATATTCTTAATCCAACACAAAAGAAAATTCCCTATCAGATTCAAAAATGATCATTCCCAAAACACACCACATAAAAAGAAATTCCATAGATATAATCGAAAAATGAAATTCAACACCAATTTCGAAACTATCAAAAAAGAGCCACCTCGGTACAATTCAACAGAGTGTAACACAAATTGAAGAAAAATGAAATTGAAATAATTGAACTAGAAAACCAGATTAAGATTCACCTCTTTGATTCACACACAAGAGAAGAAGCTTCGAGGTGCAAGAAGAGAGAGAAAGAGAGAGAATGAAGAGTGAGAAAGAGAGAGAGAGAGAGCGATCTCTGAATGAATGAATGATTGATTGGTGGAAAAAAAATTTGAGGGCACATAAATAAAATTAATATTAATATTTAATTTATTAATAGTAGAAATTGAGACGCAATTATTTATTACTATTTAATTAATTATTAAAGCGATGTATGACAAAAGTGTTTATGGATAGGTTAATTAATTTATTAATTGCTTAATGAGAAATTAGGTGTATAGATTATGATTTTGAAATGACGTGTTGGTTGCTGAGATCTTCAGGATTTATAGACGTTGGATTCCTTGTGTTTTCTTTAAATGGAGGAGTTGTCACGCGCTTTGCTGTCGCGTGAAGGTACGTGCACATGGATGAGATTGACTAACGGTACTATGTAGTAATTTGGTTTGAAAAATAGTAGTAATTTTTAAATGGATTTAATTGTAGTAAAATAGTAGAAAAAAGATAAATAAAATATTATGTAAAAAAAAAAGGGTGAATAGAAATTATAATAGGTGTGTATAGCTTTTGATTTTAGAGCTAAGATTGTGGTTGTCATGCTTGATATTCAAAATCATTCATGCTTGTTAGTTGGAAAATCTTTTGATTGAATATGATTTACTACTATTCATAATTTCTACTTTTACAAACATGTTTTTTATTTTTATTTTTTATTTGTATGGAATATTATAAATCAACTTTTTTTTTTTATGGAATATTATAAATCAACTTTGTGAGATATATTGTGTTTGTTTTGAGGAATTGGTGATTGATAAGTGTGAGGGCAAAGCCTCATATACTATACATGTGTGTTTCAATGATGTCAAAACGCAACCGCATAGAAGAGATGTTTGGCGTTATCTCCACAATGCATAAGTATACCGTATTGTCGTGTTTCATTTGCTTGCACAACGCATCTTTAGTACTGCACTTAGTTGTGTTAGAATATGCATAATTCAAGTTAAAATCTCATTGGTTGTCATAGGTATCATCCAAGTATGTCAAAAACATCAAAATCATCCAAGTATGTCAAAAACATCAAAATTGGCATTTTTGCAAAATACAGGTCTTTGAGTCGACCGCACATCTGCTCTGGTTGACTCATACAGGTCTTTGAGTCGACCGCACATCTGCTCCGGTCGACTCATAAAAAGTGTTTAAATTGTGTAAAATCTTCGGGTTGGCGCACGCCGACCTACCGGTCGACGCATACTGTTGTCTTTTCTGTTTATCAAAAAATGCAGACTTTGAGTCGACGCATAGTCCTGTTTCGGTCGACACATACTGTTTGTTTTTGCATAATCTGGTTTCACATGTTCGCTCTGGTCGACCGCTTCCTTCTGTATGGTTGACCGTTCGCTGTTTTACTGCATAATTTCTGTCTGTCCACTTATTTCGAAAAGTGGTTTTGTCTGTTATTTCTAGCATGCTGTAAATAGAAAGTTGCTCATTTTTAACAAGGAAATTGAAACATTTGAATAAACTGAAAACAAGAAAAGTGAAAGAAGTGTCATTTGTTCTCACCATCTTCATCTTCTACATTTCATACCACAACAATTACACACAATCATTTTTGTTGTGCATTATGAACTGTTTGAAGTGATAACGTCTGAAGCCGTTGATTGGGAATCCGGTTTGGGTTGAGTTTTTGGCAGGTTTTTCTTGAATAAAACCTTGAGGGTTTTGTCCTCCAAGATTCGGTGAATTTGGGGGGTTTTTTGGTACGAATCTTCTCAACATACATTCAGTTGAGCGAAGGTGATCAAGGAGCAGTGAGTTCCGTCGATCTAGTAGTAGGAATCGGTGAATTGTGAAAGAGAGGTTTGGTTTCGATTGGCAAGTGTTTGATATCAGCCGAGTTGGGGTTTGAAAACGCAAGGTTGTTTAACTAAGGAGCTGTAATCAGAGGTTCATCCACAAGCAATCGGAGGACTTGATTCGTCTCGAATCAAGGGACAAGAAGAGAAAGCATCTTCAACAACAAGGGAGTTTGTTTGTGCATTTGCTTGTCTATTCTTGTATAAACGATTCAACAACAGGTTACATTGATATTATTATGAGCTCAATTCTATTGTTAGAATTGAGGACAGACGTACCCTGAAGCGAGGACGGCGGGGGAACTGCCTCAACAAATCTTTGTGCCTTTCACCTTCCGCATTTTCATTTTAGTTAATATTTGCGTGAATTTAGTTCAAACAATAATATCGAATTAAGGACTGTTGAGTAAGTGTTGAAACAATTTTAACTATAGTACAATAGTTTATTGTACAAGGAAACTAGTGCTACTTACTCAAGGCTGAAATCACTTGGAGTGCTCTGCACGCCAAGTGTTTGATAAATTGTCTGAACCAAAATTCTCTTGTGTTGTCCAACTATTTTGTTGGCATATTAAGGCATTGGAACTAGTCATACCAAATAGTGATATAAATCAATTGATAGTGTGACTAGCGTAGTGATTCTCATAACTCATTTCTCATTATCAATTTCCAAAGGCTAGACGCATATCCGATCTTCTAGTAACGGTTCATTATAGACGGTAACTTTTCCACAGCCGCTTCCGCAATTTAAACAATTTTTTAAAAACCAATTTTATTGGTAGTGCCGACTGAATTTTTAATAAGGATCTATTCAACCCCTCTTCTAGATCCGTGCCATCGTCTAACAATAAGCACTTGAAAAGGTGGGATATAGTTTAAATGTAATCTCTTACAAATTGGTTTACAATTTGTAGTGTATATATGCTTTAAGGTTTCAATCTAAATATGTAATGGATTGTTCACTAAGGAAACTCAAATTAAAAGAAGTATACAAGCTCAATTATGAAGTTCAATCAAAATGAATAGTTAATGTGCTCACAGAAATCACATAGCGCGAAAAACTAATTTAATTTATTATAAAAAATCAACACATATAAATAAAGGATTTGAGCATTTGTTGTTCCAAACATCTCAAAATATACTTAAGTCAGGTATTTGTTACCGCTTATCTCGACATTTAGTTATATCAATGTATCACACTTATCATCGATGAACTTAGTGAACATTACTAAGGAAATAACAGTTAACTCAAGTGTATAGGAATCCAGCCACATTATAAATAAAGAACTCAACTCAGGAATAATCCTTCAATAATCAACTCATTTATTCATGATTTGCATACACTTCACCATATTTCAGTTTTGAAGTATCTTTATTTGTACATCTTCAAACTTTGTTTGCCTTCTTCATTTATAAAATTAGCGTACGAGAAGAATTAGTTGAGATTATTCCACCTTATTTAGAGTTCACATCACCGATCTAGGTAATCCTCTTGTTTCATACATGAACACCCACATATACACCAAAGACGACATTTATGACATACAAACTGATCTAACCTGGTGGATCAGAACGTGGCCTGCAACACCTCTACGGCAGCAACAAACAGCAAGAGTGGATGGAGAGGGGGTACCTGCAGACACTCTGATGCCCAAGTAAGTTCAGGCAAAGTGATAGCAAGTAAATTAAGGAATAGAATTGAATGTCTGATCCTTCTGCAGAGGAGGGTATTTATAGAGCCCTCAGCACTGGGTCAACGGTCTCCATTATGGATCAGGTGATCAAGATCATAATGGATGACTTCCAAAATTCCTACGTGGAGGTGGGAATGAGCATCTCGTGCTCATTATCCTGGGTCAACTGCTCTGCATTCCCCGGATAGTGGGTTAGTGGATGGAGTTGCCCATTGCATAGGGCATAATGTTTCCTCGAGATACGTGGGATCAGTTGGTCATGTATCCTCAGGTGAGGATCACGTGGGGAATGTGCTCTCCAACAGCTATAATGGATTGGGCCTTTATATCGGGTCTTCTTCAATGCGGAGCTGGACTTAGTTGTGCCCGACTGTGGGCCAGTCTCAGGTCCAGTCCAGAACAAGAGCGCCCCAAGTCGTTGCTCTAAGGCATGAGAGTATTAACTTAGAGTCAGTTCGTATATCAAAGAGGGACAAAGGAAACATGCGCAAGGAGAGAGGTTATTCGGATTTGTGGTGTGAGCTACGTTCGCGGGGGAACGTGAAAGTTATCCCTCGTGACTGACAGCGCGAGCCTGTTAAAAGTTTTTCATCAAGTTTCTGC